ATGGTTAAACTAATTTATACTATCACCAACAGTGTAAAAGCATTTCTATTTCTCCACATTCTCTCCAGCATCTGTTGTTTCCTGACTTTTTAATGATCACCATTCTAACTGGCGTGAGATGGTATCTCACTGTGGTTTGGATTTGCATTTCTCTAATGACCAGTGATGATGAGCTTTCTTTCATATATTTGTTGGCCACATAAATGTCTTCTTTTGAGAAGTGTCTGTACATACCCTTCACCGAGTTTTTGATGGTGTTGTGGGGGTTTTGTAAATTTGTTTAAGTTCTTTGTAGATTCTGGATATTAGCCCTTTGTTAGATGGATAAACTGCAAAAAAAATCTCCTATTCTGTAGGTTATCTATTTACTGATGGTAATTTATTTTGCTGTGCAGAAGCTCTTTAGTTTAATTAGATCCCATTTGTCAATTTTGGCTTTTGTTGCCATTGCTTTTGGTGTTTTTGTCATGAAGTCTTTGCCCATGCTTACGTCCTGAATGGTATTGACTAGGCTTTCTTCTTTGGTTTTTATGGTTTTAGGTCCTACATTTAAGTCTTTTTTATTATGTTTTTTTGGAGACAGAGTCTTGCTCTGCCACCAGGCGCCAGGCTGGAGTACAGAGGCATGATCTCGGCTCACTGCAATCTCTGCCTCCCAGGTTCAAGCAATTCTCCTGCCTCAGCCTCCCGAGTAGCTGGGACTGCAGGCACACGCCACCACGCCCAGCTAGTTTTTGTATTTTTAGTAGAGACGGGGTTTCACCCTGTTGGCCAGGATGGTCTCGATCTCTTGACTTTGTGATCCGCCCACCTTGGCCTCCCAAAGTGCTGGGGCTACAGGCGTGAGCCACTGTGCCTGGCCACATTTAAGTCTTTAATCCACCTTGAGTTAATTTTTTTATAAGCTGTAAGGAAGGGGTCTAGTTTCAGTTTTCTGCATATGGCTAGCCAGTTTTCCCAACACCATTTATTAAATAGAGGATTCTTTCCCCATTGCTTGTTTTTGTCAGGTTTGTCAAAGATGGCTGTAGATGTGTGGTGTTACTTCTGAAGTCTCTGTTCCGTTCCATTGGTCTACATATCTGTTTTGGTGCCAATACCATGCTATTTAGGTTACTGTAGCCGTGTAGTACAGTTTGAAGTCAGGTAGCGTGATGCCTCCAGCTTTGCTCTTTTTGCTTAAAATTTTCTTGGCTATGCAGACTCCATTTTGGTTTCATATGAAATTTAAAGTAGTTTTTTCTAATTCTGTGAAGAAAGTCAATGGTAGCTTGATGTGGATAGCATTGAATCTACAAATTCCTTTGGGCAGTATGGCCATTTTCACAATATCGATTCTTCTTCTCCATGAGCATGGAATGATTTTCCATTTGTTTGTGTCCTCTCTTATTTCTTTAAGCAGCAGTTTGTAGTTCTCCTTGAAGAGATCCTTCACATCCCCTGTAAGTTATATTCCTAGGTATTTTATTCTCTTTGTAGTGATTGTGAATGGGAGTTCACTCATGATTTGGCTGTTTGTCTATTATTGGCATATAAGAATGCTTGTGATTTTTGCACATTGATTTTGTATCCTGAGACTTTGCTGAAGTTGCTTATCATCTTAAGGATATTTTGGGCATAGACGATGGGGTTTTCCAAATATACAATCACGTCATCTACAAACAGAGACAAGCTGACTTCCTCTCTTCCTATTTGAATATACTTTATTTCTCTTGCCTGATTTCCCTGGCTAAAACTTCCAATACTACGTTGAATAGGAGTAGTGAGAGGGCATCCTTGTCTTTTGCCGGTTTTCAAAGGGAATGCTTCCAGCTTTTGCCCATTCATTATGATATTGGCTGTGGGTTTGTCATAAATAGCTTTTATTATTTCGAGATACATTCCATCAATATCAAGCATGAATGGGTGTTTAATTTTATTGAAGACCTTTTCTGCATCAATTGAGATAATCATGTGGTTTTTGTCATTGGTTCTGTTTATATGATAGATTATATTTACTGATTTATATATATTGAACCAGCCTTGCATCCCAGAGAGGAAACCAACTTGATCATGGTGGATAAGCTTTTTGATGTGCTGTTGAATTTGTCTGCCAGCATTTTATTGAGGATTTTCACATCAGTGTTCATCAGGGATATTGACCTGAAATTATCTTTTTTTGTTGTGTCTCTGCCAGGATTTGGTATCAGGATGATGCTGGCCTCATAAAATGAGTTAGGGCAGAGTCCCTCTTTTTCTATTGTTTGGAATAGTTTCAGAAGGAATGGTACCAGCTCTTCTTTGTAGCTCTGGTAGAATTCAGCGGTGAATCTATCTGGTCCTGGGATATTTTTAGTTGGTAGGTTATTAACAAGTGCCTCAATTTCAGAACTTGTTATTGGTCTATTCAGGGATTCAAGTTCATCCTGGTTTAGTCTTGGGAGGGTGTATATGTCCAGGAATTTATCTATTTCTTCTAGATGTTCTAGTTTATTTGCATAGAGGTGTTTATAGTATTCTCTGATGGTAGTTTGTATTTCTCTGGGATCAGCGGTGATGTCCCCTTTATGGTTTTTTATTGTGTCTATTTCATTTTTCCCTCTTTTCTTGTTAATTAGCCTGGCTAGAATGGCTAGAAGTCTATTTTGTTCTTTCTTTCTTTTTCTTTTTTTTTTGTTTTTGTTTTTGTTTTTGTTTTGCTTGTTGTCCAGGCTGGAGTGCAATCGATGCTTTTGGCTCACTGCAACCTCTGTCTCCTGGGTTCAAGTGATTCTCCTGTCTCAACCTCCTGAGTAGCCGAGATTACAGGTGCCTGAGACCAGCTAATTTCTTGTATTTTTAGTAGAGACAGTGTTTCACTATGTTGGCCAGACTGGTCTCGAACCCCTGATCTCAGGCGATCCACCTGCCTCAGCCTCTCAAAGTGCTGGGATTACAGGCATGAGCCACTGTGCCCACCCCTAATCTTTTCAAAAAATCAGCTCCTGGATTCATTGATTTTTTTTTTGAAGGGTTTTTTGTGTTTCTATCTCCTTCAGTTCTGCTCTGATCTTAGTTATTTCTTGTCTTCTGCTAGCTTTTAGATGCGTTTGCTCTTGCTTCTCTAGTTCTTTTAATCGTGGTGTTAGAGTGTCGACTTTATCTCTTTCCTGCTTTCTCCTGTGGTCATTTAGTGCTATAAATTTCCCTCTAAATACTGCTTTCACTGTGTCCCAGAGATTCTGGTGCATTGTGTCATTGTTCTTATTTGTTTCAAATAACTTATTTCTGCCTTAATTTCGTTATTTACCCAGTAGTCATTCCAAAGCAGGTTGTTCAGTTTCCATGTAGTTGTGTGGTTTTGAGTGAGTTTCTTAATTCTGAGTTCCAATTTGATTGCACTGTGAGCTGAGAGACTGTTAGGATTTCCATTTGCTGAGGAGTGTTTTACTTCCAATTATGTGGTCAGTGTGGTGCTGAGAAGAATGCATATTCTGCTGATTTAGGATGGAGAGTTCTGTAGATGTCTATCAGGTCTGAGTGGTCCAGAGCTAAGTTAGAGTCCTGAATATCTTATTAATCTTCTGTCTCATTGATCTGTCTAATATTGACAGTACTGTGTTAAAGTCTCCCACTATTAACTTTGTGGGAGTCTAAGTTTCTTTGTATGTCTCTAAGAACTTGCTCTGTGAATCTGGGTGCTCCTGTATTGGGTGCATATATATTTAGGATAGTAAGCTCTTCTTGTTGCATTGATCCATTTACCATTATGTAGTGCCCTTCTTTGTCTTTTTTTATCTTTGTTGGTTTAAAGTCTCTTTTATCAGAGGTTAAGATTGCAACCCTGCTTTTCTTTGCTTTTCATTTGCTTGGTAAATATTCCTTCATCCCTTTATTTTGATTCAATGTGTGCCTTTGCACATTACATGGGTCTCCAGAATATAGCACGCCAATGGGTCTTGACTCCTTATCCAATTTGCCAGTCTGTGTCTTTTAATTGGGGCATTTAGCCCGTTTACATTTAAGATTAATTTTGTTATGTGTGAATCTGATCCTGTCATTATGATACTATCTGGTTATTTTTCCTGTTAGTTGATGCAGTTTCTTCATATTGCTAATGGTCTTTACAATTTGGTATGTTTCTGCAGTGGCTGGTACTGGTTTTTCCTTTCCATGTTTAGTGCTTCCTTCAAGAGCTCTTGTAAGGCAGACCTGGTGGTGACAAAATCACGCAGCATTTCCTTGTCTGTAAAGGATTTTATTTCTCCTTTGCTTATGAAGCTTAGTTTGGCTGGATATGAAATTCTGGGTTGAAAATTCTTTTCTTTAAGAATGTTAAATATTGGCCCCAATCTCTTCTGGCTTGTAGGGTTTCTGCAGAGAAATCTGCTGTGAATCTGATGGGCTTCCCTTTGGGGGTAACCTGACCTTTCTTTCTGGCTGCCCTCAACATTTTTTTTCCTTCATTTCAACCTTGGTGAATCTGACGATTATGTGTCTTGGGATTGCTCTTCTCAAGGAGTATCTTTGTGGTGTTTTCTGTATTTCCTGAATTTGAATGTTGGCCTGTCTTGCCAGGTTGGGGAAGTTCTCCTCGATAATATTCTGAAGAGTGTTTTCCAACTTGGTTCCATTATCCCCATCACTTTCAGGTACCCCAATCAAATGTAGTCCTATATTCACATAGTCCGATATTTCTTGGGGGCTTTGTTCATTCCTTTTTATTCTTTTTTCTCTAATCTTGTCTTTATGCTTTATTAAGTTGATCTTCAATCTCTGATATCCTTTCTTCCACTTGATAGATTCGGCTATTGATACTTGTGTATGCTTCACAAAGTTCTTGTGCTGTCCTCAGTTCCATCAGGTCATTTATGTTCTTCTCTAAACTGGATATTCTAGTTAGCAATTCCTCTAACCTTTTTTCAAGGTTTTTTGGTTCCTTGCCTTGGATTAGAACATGCTCCTTTGGCTTGAAGGAGTTTGTCATTACCCACCTTCTGGCCTATTTCTGTCAATCTCTCAAACTCATTCTCTGTCCAGTTTTGTTCCCTTGCTGGCAAGAAGCTGTGATCCTTTGAAGGAGAAGCAGCATTCTGGTTTTTGGAATTTTCAGCCTTTTTGTGCTGGTTTTTCTTCATCTTCGTGGATTTATCTACCTTTAGTCTTGGATGCTGGTGACCTTCGGATGGGGTTTCTGTGGGGATGTCCTTTTTGTTGATGTTGATGCTATTTATTTCTGTTTGTTAGTTTTCCTTCTAACAGGCCCCTCTGCTGCAGGTCTGCTGGAGTTTGCTGGCCCACTTCAGACCCTGTTTGCCTGGGTATCACCAGCAGAGGCTGCAGAACAGCAAAGATTGCTGCCTGTTTCTTCCTCTGAAAGCTTCGTCCCAGAGGTGCACTCGCCAGATGCCAGCCAGAGCTCTCCTCTATGAGGTGTCTTTCAACCCCTGCTGGGAGGTGTCTCCCAGTCAAGAGGTACAGGGGTCATGGACCCACTTGAGGAGGCAGTTGGTCCCTTAGCAGAGATCAAGTGCTATGTTGGGAAATCCACTGCTCTCTTCAGAGCTGGCAGGCAGGAGCATTTAAGTCTGCTGAAGCTGTGCCCACAGCTGCCCCTTTCCCCAGGGGCTCTGTCCCAGGGAGATGGGAGTTTTATCTATAAGCCCCTGACTGGGGCTGCAGCCTTTCTTTCAGAGATGCCCTGAAAGAATAGAAATCTAGAAAGGCCATCTGGCTACAGTGGCTTTGCAGAGCTGCAATGGACTCCACCCAGTTTGAACTTCCCATTGGCTTTGTTTACACTGTTTCTGAACTAATTCTGTAAAGTCTGTATTATTTGTTTTGTGGGACCACTGAAATCTCTGGCCAGTTAGGTTGGTAGTCAGCTAAACATCAAACAAAGGTTTCTTAAATGCCTGAAAGCTATAAGTCTCCTAGCCTTTCCCAAGGGACTCTGTGTGTATGTTAAGACCTACCTTCAACATTCTGCCAGGCAGTTTACAACTTTGACTTAGGCTCAGGCTTCACTTCCTGCTTGCTCAGACTATCAAGGTAGCCAAAGATGAGAGCTTAGGGTCATCTCAGGTCTTTCCAGGAATACACACAGCTCTAAGCTTGCACACAGTTTCCCAAGAATATGTCAGAGCTTTCCAAAGTCTGGAAAAAACAAACATCTCATTACCCAGCTTTTCCCTTTCAGCTTTTTGATTAACCTATTATTTTGCCCCAACTGCCTCAGGTAGTAATCACTATTGATTGCTTTTGATTAATGCCCTCAAAGAAAAAGCTGTTCACACGGGGCCAGCTCCAAATCAGGTCAAATAAAGATAGCCTTGAGAGTGGCATCTTTGTGTGAAATATGAAATACGTCAAATGATGATAACTCTCTGGGTATGGGACTTTGAAGAAGCTCCAGCTCTGTTCTGCTCCATCCAATGGCTGCCAGACAGCTAGTTTTCATGTGCATACAGGCTGTTGGTTTTCAAGGCTGTTGGTTTTCATGGAGCTGAGTAGATTAGGATAGGAATAGGGCAACACACCGCAAAGCTCCAAGGGAAATGAAAATACATGTCCATGCAGAAAGTTGTACATGGATGTTTATAGCAGTGTTACTCACAGTAGCTAAAAGGTAGAAAACTTAAATATCCATTAACTGATTCATGGATAAACAACATGTTGTATATCCATAAAACAGAGTATTATTCAGCCATAAAAAGGAATGAAATACTGACACGTTACAATGAATGAACCTTGAAAATATTATGCTAAGTGAAAGAAGCCAATCATAAAAGGCCACATATTACATTACTTCATTCATATAAAATATAGATTAGTGGTTGTTTATGGCTGGGGGAATAGAGAGGTGATGGCTAAAAGGTAACAGATTTCTTTTTGAGGTAACGAAAACATTCTAAAATTGACTGATGATGATGGTTGCACATATGTGTGAATATTCTAAAAATCATTAAACTCTTTTGTTTAATGATTTAAACACTTCAAATGTGTGAATTGTATATGTTAAATGTGTGAATTGCATAGTATGTGAATTATATCTCAATAACCCTTCTAAACAATGCCACAAAGCTTGCTGTTCTGATTAAGATTCAGCTTCTTTTGTCGAATAAATGTTCACAGGACTGCTATAAGCCTTTGGTAATTAGCAGAGTTCTGAAAAGTTGGCACTGACAATTTTTTTCCAGTGTTCTCATTAATTTTATGGAGGAATTTTCAGAAGTCCTTATGGTGTCATTTTAGCTGACATCCTCCATTCACTTTTAATGCTCAGTACAACAGTTTGCTCCTATCACCCTTAAACAAAACACAGTATTCTGTTCTAAGTGATAATGCTAAATATACCATTGTCCTCTCTTTAGTACTCTCGTAGGTACCATAATCTATTTACCTCAAATATTCTTTCCAGTCTGTTTGATGCATCTCTCTTCTGTTTTCCTCTGTACCTCCAGCCTAATATCCCAGCTGAGGAGCAGAGAGCAGTGGGTGATGGGGGGGAATTACTGAAGAGCAGAAAACATCCCACCATGCTCAATATTTTATACTCCTCTGCTCTCACTTCCCTGTGTTTCTCCTCCAACCCCACTCTAGGTGTCCTATGTGAAAGCCATTGACATTTGGATGGCAGTTTGCCTGCTCTTTGTGTTCTCAGCCCTACTAGAATATGCTGCCGTTAACTTTGTGTCTCGGCAACATAAAGAGCTGCTCCGATTCAGGAGGAAGCGGAGACATCACAAGGTAGGCCTTTGGGTCACTGCCTAAGTAGGGACAGCTGGTAGTAAACAAAAGAGTTCTAAGCAGTCTTGCCTTGTGTTATTTGTTTCAATGGTCCATCTTTCTCAATGTAAAAGGCAGGTTAGAAATAGACTAAAGACCTAGAGGTCTCAGCTTTTCTCCCATAAGTAATGCCCTAGTTGGGTCTATAGGCAGTCACTCTTCCAATTGCAACAGTAACACTACAGAAATTATCAAGTTATACCTACAGGCAGAATTAATGGGCTAAATGCTGATGGGGTCAAGAAAATAACTAACTATAAACCTAAAATAACTAACTATAAACCATTGGCTTTTTTCTGCAAGCCTGCATGGTTTTAATAGGCTTGATTCCAGAAGACAATTGCACACGAAAGGTGAGATCTTAAAGTAGAATGCCCAGGTTCAGACTTTGCTTCCTACTCCAGGATAGAGGCAACAAGCAAGATCCTCCACCAGAGTGGGTTCTCTCACCATATGAGGGATCGAATAAAGGAATATTTGACAGGGCACCTCTGGAAAGTAACCAACTTCTGTTTACTCAGAGGTCATGCACTGACCAAAGAATACCACTGGGGAGTGTGTAGCCTGCTGGAGCAAACTGCTCCATACCCTGGGTCCCTAGCCAGTTCCCCAGAAGACCACTGTCCTGGGGATCAGAGTCTGCTTTCCTCTGCAGTCTCATTTTCACATCTATTTCCTTTTTGCTCTCTGAACTCCAACCACCCTGGCTTTTTTCTTAGTTCTTCAAATATACACACAGGACTTTAGATATCTTGTTCTCGTTCCCTGTCCTGCTCTTTCAATGCACTGTGTGTGCTATGTTCTAATTGAACTTAATTTCTAACCTTGTAAAAATGTATCCTGATTTCAGCTGGGCATGGTGACTCATGCTTGTAATCCCAGCACTTTGGGAGGCCAAGGTGAATGGATTACCTGACGTCAGGAGTTTCAGACCAGCCTGGCTAACCTAGTGAAGCCCCATCTCTACTAAAAATACAAAAATTAGCAAGGTATAGTTGTGGGCACCTGTGATCCCAGCTACTAGGGAGGCTGAGGCAGGAGGATTGCTTGAACCCTGGAGGCGGAGGTTGCAGTGAGCCGAGATCACACACTACTGCACTTCATCCTCGGCAACAGAGTGAGACTCTGTCTCAAAAAAAAAAAAAAAAAAAAAATGTATCCTGATTTAAAAGCATAAATTCAATGATGTGATTTTTTAAAAGTCTATCTCTTCTACCAAATTGCAAGCTCCATAAAAGCAGAGACCATGTTTATTTTTGCTCAGTGCTAGATCCCTGGTGCCTAACACAAGGCCTAACATATAGGGAGCATGCAATAAGTATTTGTTAAACAGATGAACAAAGGGATAAACAAATGATTAGGTTGGTGCAAAAATAACTGCAGTTTTTGCCATTAAAAGTAATAAAGAAGCAGCATCCAGACAGAGTCTGAAGTTCTTCTAGTGACAGATTAGGGCAACGAGGGACACACTAGGACCTGTCATAGTGTTGCAGGCCACAGCACATACCTGCAATGTCAGATGCTACAAGCTTTAGACTGATCTATTTAAAATAACTGTCTATTAATCAGTAAATTACAAAAACAAAACAAAATAGTTGTCTGCCAAGCTGCAATGTGCTGTAACAAAAGACCCTGTCTCTTTAGTCCTCTTTACTATGAGACTTCAAGATAGTCTATTCTTGGGTCCAGGTTCTTCATGTGCAAACTGTGTATAAAGGGAAACTGGTGAGAATTAAATCAGTGGATGCCAAAGCAGCTTTTTGTTCCTACCATGCCAAGTATTAAAATGATTACATATACACAAACTTCTATCAGTGTTTTTCTTAAACATCAGCAATCTGATTCAATTAACTTCTGGCAGTTTACCATAGGGAGGAGGCAGACATGCCAAGACAGAAGATGTCCATGGGAATTAAGATATCACCATCCTTCTAAATCTGCATTGAAGGAGAAAATTGTCTTGGGTTCAGAAAGCCAGATAGAATTTTTTAAATGACCCCTAGTTTTAGCTACTCTATATTGTCCATTGAATACCTAGCCTCTGATTCTTAAAAAGAAAAAAAGAAAGTCTAATTAAGAAACTGGAATGATGGCTTTTACCTGTAATCCAAACTACTAGGAAGGCTGAGGTGACAGGATTGCTTTAGCCCAGGAGTTCCAAACCAATATGGGCAACATAGTAAGACTTTGTCTCAAAAAAAAAAGAAAGAAACTGAAAATGACCAAACATAACTATATCTAGAATTTGTTTTTATTTTTCCTTTTTTCCCCCATAGACTAGCTGCTTTTTGTAATTTCGTTTGCTAGAGACATTTGTTAAAAACATTAATTTGAAAAGACCATGTCCAAGATATTTTACTATCACTAGGCCTTTTGATTGGACACTGCACAGCTCCACTAGATATTGTTTGCATAGACTAAAATGGGAATGGAGCCTCCTGAAGATACGTAGTATGGTGGCCTATGGTACTTTCAAAGGCTGCTTCTACCCTCCCCAAATACCTACCAGTTTGACACACTAGAAGAAAACAAACACTTTCTCTCTGGCCAGATAAAGTGTGAATGAAGCCACTATTTAGATTTGATCAGATTCCCCTACTTGGTTCCCTCCTGGAAGATGCCTCAGCAATCACCCCATCCACTCCTGATGAGGGAGGCCTACAATAGCAAGGCCAAGTCACTGGCATCACAATGTACTAAAGGCAAAGGCAAGAGAGGTGTTCAAAGACCCGAGGTTCTTCTCTAAACATTAACCATACCATCATGAGTTTTTATCTGTTCATCAGTGTGTCCATCCTGAAGCAGATAAAAATCGTCCTGCATTTAATAGATCTTAAATAAAGACTAAGCATTATTCCAAGATGGAGGTCAAAAACTAGTAGCCAGAAGGTGAAATTTGGTACGCAAATATCTTTACTTTGGCCAGGAGTGTTTTTAAAATCTGGACTAAGGGGTCAGCATTTAAAAATCGCACTTCTGGCTTCATTAGAAAAAAATGACAGCATTCAGCCATACTGGATGTGCTTCCCATAAGGTATTGGTGCACTGGAACTGCCTTTAGATAGGGAGTGCATTCTCCAGTTAATACCATCTCTTCTAACCAGATATTTTTCAGCCCCAACTTACTTTACCACTCACATTTCTCCTGCCTGCCTCCTTGTATGCATTTGAATTAATTTTTTCTCATTTATAAGGGCTCTTAAGTTGGCCCAAATGTTAGAAATTGCAATGATGGAGAATTGAGCTCACCATAAAAAATAGTTTCCTGTGGAGTAAGCCGCTCTGGAAGTGATTTGTACACTAGCGGTGTACAAGCTTCTCTTCCAGAAACCTCTCTTTAACAGGTAGTTTGCAGAGGGAATTTTAAATCCAGACAGTGAATGGAGAGGAACTAGCTACATGCCTGAATTTCTCAGAGCCTGTGATCTTGGCCAGCCTTCCCAACTCCCACCATCTTCCCATGTTGCCTCATTTGTTGTGCAGAAAGCATCTGGTTTTCGAATTCTCTGGCTGGCCTCCTTACGCAAATTATTAGGAAACCGTATCTGCGAGCACCAGGCTCAGCAGGCATACTGCTAGCAACCTCCCTGGGTTCCAGAGTACACAACCAGATTTCCCCTCCTCCAGCTCTAAGCAGTTCTAGATACAGTTGGGCATGCATTTCCTGCCACCTGCTGGTTCCAGTAAGAATAGCAAGCCTTTTACCAGTCATTCCTAGGGAATTTCCTTTCTCACAGACACAATGTAAAATTGATAATCCTCTAGCTAGATAGGGCCTTCAATCCAAACCTCTACTCTTCCCATTCCCATGTTTAACAGATGAGAAAGGCAAAGAATAATATCCAAAGCAGCATAAAAAATTAATTTGGTCCTTCCCCCTACCTAACTAGGTCCTAGTTTAAAATTAAAACAACAACAAAAAAAAACCAACATCCCCAGCCCAAGCAAGGGGAGATTTTCACTGAAATATAATAGAGTTCAGACTTAGACCCCCTTCTAAGTATTAGGTCCAGCTATTTGGCCGGCTCCCCCCAACTCCTCTCCTTGGCCCTGGCATTGACTCTTCTACTGTTGCCATATGCATAGACAAGTACTTACTATGCACCTATTTGCCAGGCATTGCATATATGTAGCACATCCTCTTCCTCCCCACTTTTGCAATGAAGGTGCTGGACAAGATTCGTTCATTTTCCAAGGATCTCTTGAGCATTTAGCATATGTCTCAAACGCTTCTGGTGCTAAAAATACAACCCCATCTAAACAAACCAAAAAACAAATGAATAAAGGAAGATAAAGCTGGTGAAGATATACAAGTAAACATTTAATCAACAAATATGTACCAAGTTTTGAGCTTATAAACCAAGGACTATGTTCATATGTTCAGAGTTAAGAGTGCAGTGAACATGGCAGATTTTGCCTCTACTTTCAGGGAACTTACAATGTAATAAAAGACAGATGCTAGTCAAGAAATTACAATACAACGTTACAAGAGTTTTTTTTTTTTTTTTTTGAGACGGAGTTTCACTCATGTTACCCAGGCTGGAGTGCAATGGCGTGATCTCGGCTCACCGCAACCTCCGCCTCCTGGGTTCAGGCAATTCTCCTGCCTCAGCCTCCAGAGTAGCTGGGATTACAGGCACGCATCACCATGCCCAGCTAATGTTTTGTATTTTTAGTAGAGACAGGGTTTCACCATGTTGACCAGGATGGTCTCGATCTCTTGACCTCATGATCCACCCGCCTCGGCCTCCCAAAGTGCTGGGATTACAGGCTTGAGCCACCGCGCCCGGCTACAAGAGCTTTAAGAAAAGAGGGAGATGACCGGACATGGTGGCTCACGCCTGTAATCCCAACATTTTGGGAGGCTGAGGCGGGCAGATCATGAGATCAGGAGATCGAGACCATCCTGGCTAACATGGTGAAACCTTGTCTCTACTTAAAAAAAAAAAAAAATACAAAAAATTAGCCAGGTGTGGTAGCACGCACCTGTGGTCCCAGGTACTCGGGAGGCTGAAACAGGAGAATCACTTAAACCTGGGAGACAGAGGTTGCAGTGAGCCAAGACTGTGTCGCTGCACTCCAGCCTGGACGGCAGAGCCAGACTCTGTTTCAAAAAAAAAAGAAAAAACAGAAACAAAAACAAAAAAGAAGAGAGAAATATGTATAAAGGATTTATGGAGCACACAGCAGGGATGGCTAGGCTACACTTGGGAGCTCAGAGAAGGCTTCTGAGGACGAATTAGGTGAAACAGGAGTTGGAGGCAAGAGATGGGATTGAGATTGTGTTCTAGGCAGGGAGAACAACTTGTACAAAGGCCCAGAGTTCAAAATAAGGAGCAGGACATTTCAAATATAAGGAAATATTTCAGAGTGACTGAAGCATAGAACACCAGATAGAAATGGCATAAGATGAAGCTGGAAAAGCAGGCAGCATCCACGTTCTAAGGCTTTGTTTATCATGTTAAGGATTTTAATTAGCCAGAAGTCAATGGCAGCCTATTAAAAGTTTTTAAGCAAAAGATGAACAAGAACTGTGCTACAACTCAAATGGTTTGGGTGGTGGGGGCAGACTGGAGGCTATTGCAATGGTGGGCTGGACACAGTAACTCATACCTGTAATCCCAGAACTTTGGAAAGCCAAGGGAGGAGGTTCTCTTGAGGCCAGGAGTTCAAGACCAGACTGGGCAGCATAGCGAGACACCCCATCTCTACAAACAAAACAAAACAAACAAACCAGAAGGTGACCTATCCTACAGTAGAGAGGGAGAGCCACCAGCAGATCTTATACTGAGTTTCTTGTTCTCTGTTGGCCCTGTCCTACACAGGAACAAGCAGAAGATAGTATTCCTTTCCTAAAAGCATTATCTACGTGGGCAATATAAGCTGATAAAACTTCTCCATGCCAACACTGAATCAACAGTTCAGTTGAAACCAAAACATTAGATTCTCAACTCCACTTCTCAGCTCACATGCAAAGATAACAAACCTGGGCATGAGGAGAGCAGACAATAATGCCTCCATGATTCAGACCAGGGCAAGACCACCATGACCTGGGAAAGGGATGAACCAGAAGGATCAGGGCAGCAGGCATTTTGGCAGTAAGCATAAGGCAGGGACGTGAGAACACATAAGAGAAAATGTACAACAAAGCTGGAGGGGTGCAAAGTATCTGGTCGGGGAGAAGGCAAGCCTGGAAAGGTAAGTTGGAGCCAAATGATGAAGAGCCTTGTACAAAAAGTTAGTAAAAATCCAGAGGTCTGTCTGAAGTTACAACTGCCAGGGATGTGGGAACATGGAGGCAGGAAGAAGCTGTGGCTTCCCTGGCTTATAGAATGTAAGTGAGGCCCAGAGCTCCTGCTCCATCCTGAGCCACAGCCAACCTCCTTATCACCCATTCCTGGGAGCCATTAACTGGGGAATGGGATGGGGAAGAGGGCAAGGAAGCAACAGAGGCAAAGCAGGGGATCTCCCCAAATTGTCCTCTGAATTTCTAACTAAAATCCAGTACAACCTTGAATATGTTCCCAAGTATAACCTCTGATGATCAAAAGAAACTTGTGGAGTAGTGGGGTGAATCTTATCCCCCAGGTAGAGGAAAAAATGAAATAAAACTTCCTGAGACTCACAGAAGGAAATTACTGGCCTGTGGTCATACAACCAGCAACTGATACAGCTGGGACTTGAGCCCAGGTCTCCAACTCTAAACCACATTCCTATCCCCTGGTTTGCATCTGTTTCAGCAGGCAAGTGGCGCCCCTCTATAAGGCAGAACTCCCCAGCCAGCCAAAAAGCCTCCAGAAACCTAGAGTGGTGTAGTCTGGAAAGCAGGGAGAACCAGATGGGCATGGCCTGGCCCTCAGGGGAGTGCCTTGCAGGGAGGGTGCCTAGTCCCTGTCTTATTTTAAGTAGAGCCCCATGTTGAATCTATTCCAGGAGGATGAAGCTGGAGAAGGCCGCTTTAACTTCTCTGCCTATGGGATGGGCCCAGCATGTCTGCAGGCCAAGGATGGCATCTCAGTCAAGGGCGCCAACAACAATAACACCACCAACCCCCCTCCTGCACCGTCTAAGTCCCCAGAGGAGATGCGAAAACTCTTCATCCAGAGGGCCAAGAAGATTGACAAAATATCCCGCATTGGCTTCCCCATGGCCTTCCTCATTTTCAACATGTTCTATTGGATCATCTACAAGATTGTCCGTAGAGAGGACGTCCACAACCAGTGAAGGGTCTGGAAGGTTGGGGGAGGCTGGGAGAGGGGAACATGGGAATAGCACAGGAATCTGAGAGACTAAGGAAGAGAAGGGGAATAGGAGAAGACTAAGGGAGGGGGCAAACTTACACAACTCTCTCTACAATATGTGCAATAGCAAAATGCAGCGATGCATGAATTTTAGAATGTGGCACTATTTAACCGCGGGTGGGCTGTGGGTGGGGGGTCAGGAGGGACTTTTCTAATATAGTAACTGAGGGCTGGGAGGAAGTGTTGGGGAATGGGGAAATAAGAGCTTTCAAAAATCTCAGTTCATGGGCTGTGCAGTTTTCCAGTTTGGAAGGAGTGCAGTCTGCTCCAGAGCAGAAAGAAAGCAATGTAATATATGATATATATTCATGCTTAATATTAATGCAAAACCACAAGAACAAAAGATTTGTTTCTTAACCTATCAGCCTAGTAACTGCTTAAATTTTTAAAGTCACAGAAGTAATGGACAATTTTTCCCAGAGTGGAAACAGTCACAAATAAGCTTGCTCTGCTGTATATCATACTCCTCCAAAGGCCATACTGTCTTCAAACTGGCCCAGGCAGACACATGCCAAAAAGCCATTTTGCCTCTGCTTCCAGAGGGCTGTGTGGTATGGGAATGGGTAGTGGGAATGGGGAAAAGTGAAGAGACGAGAAGGAGGTGACTAAATAGAAGAACTTTTCGGAGGCCAGGGATTGAGAATACAGGTGACCCCAGCTCAATCCTCATATCTCAAGGCTGAGGACCACAACTGTCCCTCTCTGAGCCCTCTTGCTTCTGTGCTTCAGCACCACCCCACTCACCCTCCACCACCATCCTAAAATGGCCAGTGTGGTTTTCTCATTATATTGCCAATATGCAATCTTTTTTATGGTTAAAAAAGTAATAATCTTGAAAAATAATATGCAGATAGACTGAGTGTAAACAGGTACTTTTTTCAAATGTCTATTTTTTTGGAGAGTCTCTTTGGAATTGCCAGCGAGTGCATGTTTGGGAAGGTGGGGTCAGTGGTATGAAGTACATTTGTTATCTAGTGGTTCTACAAAGTTTTAAGAGGTGAAAGGGCAGTGTTGAGTCTGCTGCAGATTAGGTATAAGGGTGGGGAGAGATGGTAATGTTTAGAAAACGTTATATTTTGACATATCATATATCATAATGTGCAAAGTTTGGGGGGATGACCCCGTTATATTTTTGTAAGTCTGTTTTTTTCCTTTTAGGTGCTTTAACATTTAGGAAAGTCAGACAAATATTTCTCTATCCTTTTAATTCTGAAGTGCCAGAATCGTCCTGGGACAGCTAGGGCACTCCAGAAAAAAAGAAGGACCAGGAGATGAATTTAGTTTGAGGGGTGCAGTGGGTACAGTCCTGCTGACAGAAATGGGTATCACAAATGGGAGGTCTGCAAGGTGGAAACAGCAGGCCTCTGTCCACTGTCAACAGCACTACGCCTGAAATAATGGCACCACTGTCTGCAGCATTTCCCCTGCTTTGGCCCATGGCCAGAGTACTGGGGTTCCATTTATTTCTTTGCACTTTAGTGTCTGAACTTTGGATCAAAAGTGTGGGTAGAATGTTGACAGACAGCTGACAATCAGTGTGTACTGAGGCCTGGGGTTTCACATGTGTCTTTAACAAATCTCCAACTTTAGGCAGGATGGGGGAGGAGTGGTAAGCAGAGAAGGGACACTGGAAGCCTAACTTTTCCCTAAAGCACCTTCCCCTAGGGGATTTTCTCCCATTCCAGCAGCACAATAACTAATACAGGCTTAAAATACTAGGTCAAGACAAAGATTCTAGAGATATTTACATAAAGAAAATGCACTATGCGGTCAAAAAAAAAGGATTTGGCTTTGAGGCTTGAATGGGTAAAGGTGTTTAATTCCAGATCCAAGGAAAATAAATTATTGCCTTCCCTTCTTTTAGCCTGTGTAGACCCAAAAAGCTAAACTGGATCACAGCTTTGAACAATATGGGATAGAACCTGCAATCCTTTTTTCTAAGAAATCTTTTTCTAAGAAGTCTCTCATCTAAGACCATCCTTTCCCCCATCACAAACATGTGTCCAAAGGAGAAAAGTTAAAAAGAGGGACTTGAATGACTATAGTTCAAGATAAGAACATCAGCCTTTGAGCTGCTGTCGGCACCTTTTATTAGCATTATATTCTCAAGTGGTGCATGAGTCTTTGGAGAGGCCCTTTCACTAGCACTTCATTCACTTTATTTAGGGGAAATCATTTTTTAATTTAAAAAAAGAAGCCCTTCTTCCTATTTTACTCATTACTGGACTAAATTCAGAATGTCTCAAGTCGTGGTGAATCAGGCAACAATCATACTAGACCTCCAGCAGAAACTAAAGACAATGCCATTGTTCTAAGACATTCTGCCTCCACTCAAATTGATAAATCTGCAGATTCCAAACCAGCCTCCTTATGTGCACTGTCTGGAATCCCTCCGAGAGAGAGAAATCACTGGGCCATTTGCCCAACCTCTGCTGGGTCCTTGAACTTCTGCCACCATATTCAGCTTGTGGGAGCTGCCAGGTTGACAGTAGCCAACAAACAATTGAATCATCTCTTTGAGACACAGAGGGGGAATGTCACTGAAATCGCTCAGACTATTACAAACTAGAGCCCCTTATGGAAAATCAACATGAGTGGAGTCATTATAGCAACGAAAAGAATCACCTGGATTTCAGTCCTGCCACTAATAGGCTGAGTGGCCTTGGGCAAATGACTAGGCTTTAGTTTCTCTAAATACACAATGTGAAGACTAGTAGTACAGTCTCTAAACTCCTTCTTAACAGAGTCAGGCGGCTGTATGACTCTGTGTTTAAGGTAGTCTACACAAGAAATTCACACAAACAAAAATTTAATGTCTCTTTGATTTCTAAACCCTCCAAGGTGTATGTGTGGGTATGTATGCACGAACACATGGACCCACACATTGTTGCCTTTCTTTGGAAAATTTGCAGATTTCTTTTTTCTTTGACCCACACTTGATGAATGGTGGCGAGGAAGGGACATCAATCATTACAAAGTCAAAAATGTCATCATGAATTAGGAATGGAAGCATACTCAAGGAAAAGACATTATCAACGTATAATGTAGCAAGGATTTAGCAAATTATGTGTATTTCATCTTTATAGAAAAATCAAACCAGATAAGCTAAGCCAATTACTTTAAGTGGCTCCAATGAACAGAGCAGTACTTTCTTAATTTCCTCTTCAATTTGAGCACAGGGGATATTGTGCTTTGATATTACAGATGTCAAGTGGTATGGTGGCAAAAAACTGATTTGGGTACAATGCATGGTTTACCGGTTCTCAAACTCTTTGCTTATCTAGACCACAGCAATATTTATACATGGTGTGAGAACTGGACACTGGCACAGAGGATTGGTGATTTCACCCTCCAAAACTGGAGCTAATCCTAGGAGCCAAACTAGTAGGTACCAATTAAGCAGACAGAATTTCTGCATAATTGTTTCTCACTGATTAGTTTACAATGTATCTTATTCATTTCAAGAACAGTCCAAATAAATGGCTCAGCTTTGACATCCTCTAGTCCTTTCAAACATTCTTGGCTAATACCATAGGGAATGAACAAGACCAGGCATGAACAGAAAGGGGAAAAATATTTATCTGTGTATATATTGTGTGTGATATCTTGATTTTAACTCTATTTTTAGTTTGAGTCTAAAACAAAAGGGTTCGTCATCTGACCCAAATTATTCCTTCTAAACTGTCAATAAGTAAGAAATGAATCCCCTCTCAAAAGCTCACCAATGTTTTTCATAGGCTATTTTGTTCATACTGGGGGGAAAAAATAAATGGGAGATAGTTCCTTTCCTTCAAAGTATACATCTTTACGAGCATCATTAAAAAAAAAAAAAAGATGTTTTGTGAGTCTCCATTAGATTAGATTACAGAGTGGGCTGATGCCCCAGCTAAACTGGTACCATCACTAATAGTCTTGTGAAAATTAGATTCCTTAGTTAATTGCAACACACTGAAATGGAAGGAGTTATTGTGTCTGTAGTAACTGCCTCCTTACTAGTAGAATCTGGCAAGCACAGGGCTTGATGGTGGTACAGTCGGTATCAGCTTCAGGACAGAGCTCAAGATTTAAGATTTGTAACTGTTTCCTAGTCTAGTTGGAAGCCCAGTTAAGGAGCCATGAATACCACTCTAGAAAGCTGTCTTCTTTATTCAATGAGCAACTTTTGTGCATTCTACCCACCCTCCATACCCACTCTGAAAAGGCAAGCAAGATATTCTCTGTGGGCTATGTTTCCTGGGTTGGCTGGGTGGCTTGCACTATGAGGGGCTGGTAAGGTATGTTGAGAAAGTGAATGGACCTCTACCCTTGATTTTTGGCATCATTTCTTCTTGAACCAACTAAACCAAAAATTCTCTAAACAGGCAAGCAGAGAGGGTATTTTGAAAATATAATTTAGCTTCTTTTCCACCACTGAACTATTTCTGTCAGAAATCAACTCCTGAAATTTAAATTAAGAACCTTCCTTGGACAGGCGAGGTGGCTCACGCCTATAATCCAAACACTTTGGGAGGCCGAGGTGGGCGGATCACCTGAGGTCAGGAGTTCAAGACTATCCTGGCCAACATGATAAAACCCTGTCTCTACTAAAAATATAAAAATTAGTCAGGCATAGTGGCGGGTGCCTGTAATCCCAGCTACTCAGGCGGCTGAGGCAGGAGAATCACTTGAACCCAGGAAGCAGAGGTTGCAGTGAGCCAAGATCACACCATTGCACTCCAGGTGGAGTGACAAGAGATTCTGTCTCAAAACAAAACCTTCCTTTTTTTTTTTTTTTGAGATGGAGTTTCGCTCTTATTACCTAGGCTGGAGTGCAATGATGCGATCTCGGCTCACTGCAGCCTTGCCTTCTGGGTTCGGGCAATTCTCCTGCCTCAGCCTCCTGAGTAGCTGGGATTACAGGCACGTGCCACCATGCCCAGCTAATTTTTTGTGTTTTTAGTAGAGACGGGTTTCACCATGTTGACCAGGATGGTCTCGATCTCTTGACCTCATGATCCACCAGACTCGGCCTCCCAAAGTGCTGGGATTACAGGCGTGAGCCACCGCACCCAGCACCTTCCTATTTTCCTGCAGTTTTATGAGGCCAGAGGCAAGTACTAATCCTGACCAAAGGGAGGAACAGAAGAAATATGGCTTAATTGAGCTGGCTTGCTCTGAGAACTACTTGTATCAGTGTAAGGGAAATCACGGATGTTGGCAAGGCTTTGGCCTCATGGTATCCTGAAATCCCAATGCAGAGGGAGAGCATCCTTGGATACATTGAAATCCCTGTAGAAGTAAATAACTTAAAAAAAAAAAAAAAAAATCCTGAAATAAGAATGAAAGCAATGACTTTTTTTCTGATTGTCTTAGCTAAGAATCCCAAAATGTATGTCAAAAACAAGGGTATCCTACAAACATCTTGCCCAAGCCTAAGTAACTTAGATTCACAAGGGACCATACTAGATGATGCCTCTACCAATTATCATCCTGTTGTTTCTTAAGGATTTCTCAAGCTGTAGAGACAGCAATGGCAGTAGATAGGTTTGCTCATACGTGGAGTACTAATTCATGCTGTTTTGATGGAGCTACGTGGTTAAAGTAATAATTAAGGTGCTTTGTCATTTGTTAGAACAAAACGAGTTCCAAAGTAGAAGCTGCCCAATAATTTTAATATCATTAAGGCTCCTTCAGCTAACAGACCTTTCTCTCTTTGCTCTCCCCCTATTCCTCCCATTGTTTCTCTTCTGTCAGCATCTCCTGTTTCATCAGTTTGTCCATCTTATTTTGTGAAACCAAACTGTCAGAAGATGCTGATTTACTTCCAAGTTAAGTAGGGGAAGACTAGAATGGACATAGCAGCTCCTGTCTTATTTGCTTTAAGGCTGCAATTTCTATTCATTCTCTTGCCCATGCATTTTGAAATTTCATTGCTCTGCAGTTTACACTGGAACACTGGGTCAAGAAGTCAAAATGCAGAGAAGCAAACCAAAAATATACTCTTTAGAGAGCTCAGTAATGAAAATTATATCCTACATAAGGTCATTAACCAGTTACAACGCAATACCAGCTAACCTGGGGAAAAAAGACATCTGCTAGCAGCATACAAATTCTAATCATAATAGGTCTCCCGTTTCCACTTCCACCTGGCTCCACAATTCCCTGCATTGCCTTTTGTCCTTCTCTTCTTCAGACTCAACTGTTTACTTATGCAACTCCAGAAACCCAGTAACCTATTTAAACACACCTGCCACCTGAAGTAGACAGGTCAGGGAGGTGGGTCCTTCTTCTGGTATGATCTCAAGTTCATCATAGGAATATAGATAAGCTGTTCCACTTTCTTGGCCTATTCATTCTCCTATAAAAAGAGGGAGTTGCAGGAGATTCTTCCAAGCCAAACTGAGTATTTGATGGGCTGAAGAAAAAAAGCTCTACAGTATGTTGTTAAAGGTCATTGTTTCTCCATTTTAGTATCAGTCTTGGCACCCCATCCCAGGCCTTCTGGTGAGTAGGTAGGGAGACATTTAAAAAGAGGAGAGTGAGTCTTGGCCCTTGAGGAGATTATAATCTTAATCGTTTTCCTTGAAAGTCAAGGTATTTCACAGCACTGAGGGACTTGCCTCTAAGACTAGCTTCTCACCTGAGAATCCCATCATACATCAGGACATTCCACACTGGTGTTTTCGCATGTGTATCCTATGAAGGCTGTAACCCACTTCTCATGGCAGTTGTCTGAACTCTGCCAAAGCCTCTGCAAGAATCAGAAATGCATCAGAGCAGAACTTGTGAAATATCCTTAGAGAAATAACTGTAATGACTCCTTCCTGTTTCCCCCTCCTCCACTCCCAATTTAGTCATAAGAAACTGAAGAATTAACAATGTTTTCCCTGGTGTGTCCCTGTTACTCTAGGTACAGTTACAGCAGAAAACATGGGACCATTCCACACCACCAGAGGGTTTATCTAAATCATACCACTGACTACACTAATAAAAAGAAGCAATTTTATAGGAGATGTGGCTGGAGTTGGGCCAGCTCTCTCCATATTCACCCTCAAACAAGACCTCACCCTGGAAATGTTTCTGAAATGCTTTCACACTCCTAAGGCTTCAACACTTCTTATTTTCAGAAAACACTGTCTTTATCAACAGGGATATTATATATGCTTTGTATGAGTGGAATCCAAGAGACAATCAATTCAAGGTCTGGGAGGACAGGACATTTGAGCTCAGATTCTAAACAAAAGGTTCTTTTCCATAGCAGTTGGATGTATCAGTTTCTAACGGCTCTTTACTCCCACCCAAGCTCTGGACATGAAGTAGGAAAATGAAATTACAAAGGAAATGTGTCAACAGAGCTGTCCCCTCTCCAAAAAAGCAGGTGCTCCTGCTTGTCTTGAAGTCCTTTTATTCCTGGCTTAACCATCTGTGCAAACTAGCCAGATGAGTTTATGGGAGAAGGCCTCCACGACTGTGCTTCATAGAACCCACCTGGCCTCACCTTTCTCTTCAGTTGGTCTTTGGCTTGACAGGACCACGAGCTACAGCAGTGATGTCAGGAATGTCTTAGCTACTGCTCTAAGGGCCAGCACAGTACCCCTTCTGCTCAGCTCTGGATGTTGTTCAGAAAAGTGGCACTCTGGTCCCTATTTAGTGACCCAAGTCTGGTTTAGTGGGTCTCCAGGTAACTGCTATGTACATGTTTTGGGATGATTTCTTAATGTTTCCTTAGCCTGGAGAAAGTATTTTAGTCTTCTTTCAGAGTATAAAATGGGCTCAGGAAGAACTAGAATATATTTTATTACATAAAACATCATATGCATACATATATTATCTCATTTTCTATTCAGATTTTTAATTTCCTATACCTGCCTTTCCACTTGCTCTATATTAAATCTATTATGGCAAATTGGTATACCATGAAAGCAGGGCGTCAGAATAAAAACACAACCCCTTTTCCTGCAACATAGGAGGGGATAATAGAAGCACCAATATCATTACTGAAGTGTGATGCAGTATGTAACAGAAGGAGGAGGGTGCCATGGAGAGAGTAGAAATTAAATTGTGGAATGTGAATAGTAATGAATAGATGAGATTTTGACAGATGGGGACAAGACTCCAGGCAGAAGGAACAGTATGAGCAAAAATATGGTGGTTAAAAAATAGGCAGCACATGCAAGGTGATTATCCACTTGGATAAAGTGTAATGAATGGAAGACATGTTTGCAAAGATAGATTTAGATTACATTGAAAGCTTAAAATAGAGGATAAAGGGTCAGGACTCATTAAGTGCAGCAGTTCTCAAAGGCAAACCAAGGGTGCTCCCTCATAAACAGCAGCTTTCTACCTTCTTTCCATTAGCCAACACCTTCAGCCCACTCAGATGTTCCTGTACTTATTTTGAGAGAACTTAACTTTTCCTGTCTCAGAAGTAGAGTACCCACTAGAAATTCACATCTTCCAAGAGTGTCAATGTGAACTAGTAAGTACTGGGCATTTAGTTTGTCCTAGGTAGCCAGCCATTAGAAAGGAGGTAAGTATGGTAAAGTTATGGTTCTACTATGAGCTCACTATTCTATACTGATTCTGAAAAAGTTTTTACTGTGAGTTGTTTACCAAGGCAATACTTAGTATAATGAAGGTATTTCTAAAGAGCTTTTGCTCTAAATATTTCCTTTTATTGATCTAATTGAAATACTAAGCAGACCTGAGGTAAACACAGTCTAGCACATCCTTTTTTACACCCTCAACTGCATCTGAAATTACTTCTCCCAACAGTGTCTCTATTCAAAGCACAAAAATCAGGTCCATTAAAAACAAAAAAACAAAACAAAAAAAAGGCATAGAAAGGGGGGGAAAAGGCCAAATATGAGTAGAAAAAATAAACACAAACATGTAAAAAAAAAAAAATTTTTTTTTTAAATTTAAAAAAAAAAAAAAAGGTTGGGCGTGGCAGCTCACACCTATAATCCAAGCACTTTGGAGGCCAAGGTGGGTGGATCACCTGAGGTTGGGAGTTCAAAACCAGCCTGACCAACATGGTGAAACCCCGTTTAAAAAAAAAAAAAAGTAACGGATTGGTATTAAGTCATTGCTAGTCCAAGTATGAAAAAGGAAGTTTCTTTCACAAAAGGTTATATTTCTTAAGTAAATCCTTTGAACAGACACTCTGGGGAAAGGAAAAGTTAGTATAACCTACCATAGTAAATTAAAGATTGCCTCAAATCTTTTTTAAAGTTGGTGTTTACACATCAAGCAAGCACTTTGCTAAACCCAACTTTTTCCATATTAGATATAGTTGTACCTCACCTTTGTTGAGCATACCATGCTCAACATGTCAATTTAGCCTGAATGGTATAGAAAAGGCTAAAAAATTGAGTTCCCATAGGGTACTTCACAGTGTTTTAAATTCATACTTCATATTTTAATGGTTCAATCTTCCAATACTTAAGCCATTATATCTTCAACACTAACAGTTAAAACGACATAGGTAAATTAAATCCTAAAGAGGTCCCACCTGCTTAGTATATCGAATGGACATAGATAAAATACCTACTCAATGTGATTCTTGCGTATATTAGACAAAAGGTTAATGCAATGTTCTCAAAAGGAAAATAAAAACTAAACAGCTTGAGTTCTACTTTCAAAACAAACATAGCAGAGACCTCAGTGGCCTCCAAGTATGTCTGACAAATTGGATGAAACGTATCTTCAGCTGTTTTGGATTTGAAATGGACAAAGTGAAACCACAAAGTGACCAAGACAAAAACCCTAATACTTTTAAGCCCTCTTGATGTTCCAAGACTGCCAAAGCTTTGAGATTCCAGTCTCATTGTTTAAGATCAGCATCACAGTAGACTTGTTGACTAGAATTGATGCAAATTACTGCAATAACTTGTAGTGCATTTAGGGCGAAGAGTGGTTGGTGCATGATTAGAATATTCAGTGACTGTTAACTTTGCAAGTGTTCAAACATACCACAATGCTTCCAAATCACAAATCACTTGGTCTTCTCTCCTAGGGTGGGCCATTTACGGAGACCTCATTCTCAAACTTGACTGGTCTAGAGAAACTATAGGAGATTGAATTACCTTGCGGCCATAGTTGTAAACACACTGGAGCCACACTTGAAAACGCGATGAACAAGACAACAGAGAGTATACCAAATCATTGCTAAGACAACATTAATGACAAAGTTGGATTTAATTTAAAACATTCCAAAATGAGTTTAATTACAAAATAAATGCAGTCACTGGGGGAAGGAGTTATTTGTACACTCTATCTTAAATTTAGCAACTTTTCATTTTGACTCAGGATTCACTAATGTTAAGATGGGCTAGTTTCTGCCAACAGGACAAGAGTGTGAAATCTCAGAGTCCCACCAACCTTGCCAAAGTGAATGACTTCTGCATTAATTGGAAGTCATCCCCAAAGGACTTGCCCTTCATGTTTTCCCCATTTTGCCCGCTTAGATATTTGCACAAAAGATGTACCCTATGTCTTAAAAGTTCCCCGGTTTGATGTTTACGCAGAAGAGTAAATCCCAGGTTATTATTATTCTGCAAATGATTTTACATTTCCTTTATTCCAAAAATGTAGCTACCAACTTAAATGTATCATGACACACAAGGGGTAAAAGTTAGATACAAACATCTAAGAGCTAGGGCATGTTTCCTGAAACACTTTGGTTCATTAGCACATTATTTAAGAAGTTACCTTAACCCCAAAGGAATCTAAGAAGGGCACCGTGTAATTCTTCAGGTCACAACGCCAACATGACTATGGAGTCTGTTACACGTAAGGCAACCACAAGTTACAATTCTACTTGCTTAGTCGGGCAGTGTGAATTAGCTAAGCAATATAGTGCTATGATGGAAGAGGTTCAAGATGATTCATGCTTTCATGCCAGACCAGACGTCACAAGCCCACATAGCAGCGACTCTGACAGCTAGCCAAAGTAGAAGAGATTTCTAAAAAGTAGCCTGGGACATTTTAATTAATTGGCCTGGAAAATTAGGTCAGAATTACAAAGTTCCTTATACTTATGAAGAAGAAAATGTGATCGTATGCCTTTTATATGGAAATTTCTTTGTATATATGTATAAACTTGGTATGGCCTTAATGCTGCAGTTAAGGATTTGTTTGGCTACCACCTTAAGCAGCATGTTAAGCAATCGCTTCCTTAATGTAACATTTTTACTTCTTACTGGACACTCAACCTTGAACAACTTATTCTTCCCCCCCCTTTTTTTTTGCATGAAGTCATAAAAGTTATGGCAGTTATTTTTTGGCTTGTAAAAAAAAAAATCTATTTCTGCAGTTTGAAGATGGAATGTAAAATTTCTGTGAAACATGTATATAAAAGTATATTTATTGAACCATCCATATACACATATCCATGCTGATTCCAATGGAAAAAAATTAAAGTTTTCTGAAATTTTCTGTGGTTAACTCATAATTATTACTATTTAACCAACTTCATATGCAAGAACTTCCAATTACCCCAGAGACAAACCTAGGAATAACCTGGAAAATATCTCACTTTAGACAAGGCTTTATGTCGAGAAATGAAAATTCATTTGTTCATTCAGGAAGTATTTATTGGTAGGTACTAGGCAAGATACAAAGATGACTCAGACACAGATCCTGCCCATAAGGAGCTTACAGTCTAATAGTGGAGAGAGAACACATACATGGGATACATGGTCAGAGCTACGTTTCAGTAAGATGAATCTAACATTGTGTATAAAGTAGACTGGAGTAAGAGGTTAAGTGAAGCTGAGAGGCTACTGAAATTACATGGGTGAGGAAGAAAGACATGAAAGACTTGAGGTAGAACCGACAGGACTTAGCTGAAGACTGGACGTGGGGAATAATAAGTGGAAGCAGATGACTCAGACTTTAGCATGGATGATTTCATGAACTGAAAAAAGGAACAAGTTTTTGCAAAGAAATGAAAATTTCATATAAAATTCTTCTGCATAGAAACAAACTGCCTGGGATATACTAGGCACAATCAGGAAGAAATGACTAGTTACCCAGACCAATAATGAAAGCACCTCAAAATGGCCAGTGACTTCCTCCCCCTTCTATATTCATCCCCCAAAATTTCCCAACAATTTCCTCCACTGCATAGTGCCTAATATTGATTAAATTCAAGGTCTATCTCCAAACGTGCCTCCCTTGGGAATGAAAACAAATATATTAAGTTATTCAAATCAGTAAATTACCATCTAAAGACTCTAGTTACGAGTCACTATACCTTCTGGTGGAATACAGAGATTAACTCCCTAGTCCTTGTCTTCTAGGAGCTTACAGTCTAGTAAAGTAGTAAAACAGTAATGTAATTCTAATTCTAGATTGAAGGGGTCAAGTTATGAACTATGAGAAACACAAAATGCTCTAGAAACAGTGGTCAAAACAGGACCTCAAACAAGAGAAACAATGTGGAAAACAGATGAGAATGAATTTGTTCCTCACTTCAAATTCTGGGCAGATCAGACCCAAAAAAGGATTTTCAGATCAGACCCAAACAACTCCCCATTCCTGTTGTAAATTTTTTCTTAGGAAAAAAACACAGCTCTTGTACTGATCTTTTAAAAAATTACTTACATGGCGAGAGATCTGAAGTAGCGGGGGGGGGGGGTGTAGATCTCAGTGGACCTTCAGGGAAGAGAGAAGGCACTTGAAGCCAAGGAATCACAATGCCTGGCTTATTGGGAGGACCCTAAGTGTTTTAGCAAGGCTGGAGCATTACTTCCATGAAGAGTAGGAGAAATAACTGAAAAGTAATATTAAGACCTTGATATAAACATGGCACTGCCAGGCACTAAACAGGGTACATGCCTAAGACCAAATTGCTGCCCCGTAGGAGCTTACAGTTACAATACAAGGTGGAAAAAGCACCACAATGTACAGAATGCAAAATGCTGAAGTATTTAGGAGAAATTACAGCTGAGTTTCAGCTATTAACACATTAGGATACCCAATAGCTTTCTGACAGCTAGTAGTAAACCCATCCCTGAGGGGAGCACAAGTTAATGTCCTTAGACAACAAGCCCTGGTAGAGCTGGGCCATTAATGACAATTCTAAAAAAAATAGAGAAAACAGGGGTATGAAAACTGCGGAAGCAACCAGGTGAACATATAAAAAGTGACACCTTCCCTTTTTCTTCTGACAAACTTTAACAGTGCTAGCCTTCCTGCAGTGAACATAAACTGATGATCATATTACTTCTAAAAACAGATTTGGGACTCTACTACTCAATTCTCTGATCACTTGTAAAATGAAGGGGTTATAAAGTCACTTCTGGTCCTTTCTAGCACTAACATTCTATGATTCAAAGAATTCTGAGAGTTTCTCTGTTCCTTGTGGTAATAATCAAAATAGAAGAAAAAAATTGATGCTTCTCACTGAAAAGTATATTTCCTATATAAATCACAAATGATCCCTATGCTAGCAGCTAAATTTTACTTCCACCCTATCCTTCAAAATCCAGAAAATTTTTTAAACCACATGCCCTACAAGCTACATTAGCATGCACCAAATAATTTTTTAAAAAGTTTTCTCCTCTCCTACTCCCTTATACTAGCTTCTTGGTATAATGTCATTTAAAGGGCCAAATCAGTGTACATCCAATCTTCATAACAAAATTTTAAAATTTAGGGGAACAACTGACATCAAAGCATCAGGACAATGAGTAACCAAAATGTTTTTGTTTGGTTTTGTAATTTTTTGTTTTTCAGAGACAGGGCCTCATTCTATCACCCAGGTTAAAGTATAGTGGTACAATCATAGCTCACTGCAGCCTCCAACTCCTGGGCTCAGGAATTCCTCTTGCCTCAGCCTCCTGAGAGGCAACATTACAGGAATGTGCCACCACGTCTGGCTCA